AAATTACGGCATAGGAACGATTGTGCTCTGCAGATGGATGCCAGCTGACGGCGGCGTTAGGGGCATTCATGTCACGTATTCTTACTAGGGTTCGCCATGCTAGTGGCGGTAACACGAATATTTTAAAAGCCTAATTATTTTAATGTAGCCGAGCTTAGAAAAATGGAGAAAAAATGAATTATTCTTGGGGCATTTTAAGCTATAACCAGATCTATATTGGTGTAATTAGTAGAAAAAAAGTTGGGGCCCTTAGAGGGGGGTGACAAATGCCCCCCCACTTCCACAATAGGACTGCCGATCCTGATGCCGAAGCAGAGCTTTCTTACCGAGGTTACTACAGTCCCCATTCCTACTACTACCACAACACTCCCTACGTACACCACCACTACAAGAGGTCCGCGGAACCTGAGGCCGAAGCCGAACCTTCTTACGGTTCCCCTAACTACTACCGCCCCTTTTTCTACGGCCACCAACCACACCACTACATTCCTTCTGTCCACCACCTCTACAAGAGGTATGCTTACCCCGTTGCTGAGGCTGAAGCCAGCTATGGCTACAGGTTATATCACCCCGTGTACTACCACTCCTACTAATACACTCCCTACACGCACAGCCACTACATGAGATCTGCCGAGCCAGAAGCTGATCCTGGTTTCATCTACCGCCCCTACCATAGCGGAGACTGTATATATATACATATACTGTATATATATACATATACTGTATATATATACATATACTGTATATATATACATATACTGTATATATATACATATACTGTATATATATACATATACTGTATATATATACATATACTGTATATATATACATATACTGTATATATATACATATACTGTATATATATACATATACTGTATATATATACATATACTGTATATATATACATATACTGTATATATATACATATACTGTATATATATACATATACTGTATATATATACATATACTGTATATATATACATATACTGTATATATATACATATACTGTATATATATACATATACTGTATATATATACATATACTGTATATATATACATATACTGTATATATATACATATACTGTATATATATACATATACTGTATATATATACATATACTGTATATATATACATATACTGTATATATATACATATACTGTATATATATACATATACTGTATATATATACATATACTGTATATATATACATATACTGTATATATATACATATACTGTATATATATACATATACTGTATATATATACATATACTGTATATATATACATATACTGTATATATATACATATACTGTATATATATACATATACTGTATATATATACATATACTGTATATATATACATATACTGTATATATATACATATACTGTATATATATACATATACTGTATATATATACATATACTGTATATATATACATATACTGTATATATATACATATACTGTATATATATACATATACTGTATATATATACATATACTGTATATATATACATATACTGTATATATATACATATACTGTATATATATACATATACTGTATATATATACATATACTGTATATATATACATATACTGTATATATATACATATACTGTATATATATACATATACTGTATATATATACATATACTGTATATATATACATATACTGTATATATATACATATACTGTATATATATACATATACTGTATATATATACATATACTGTATATATATACATATACTGTATATATATACATATACTGTATATATATACATATACTGTATATATATACATATACTGTATATATATACATATACTGTATATATATACATATACTGTATATATATACATATACTGTATATATATACATATACTGTATATATATACATATACTGTATATATATACATATACTGTATATATATACATATACTGTATATATATACATATACTGTATATATATACATATACTGTATATATATACATATACTGTATATATATACATATACTGTATATATATACATATACTGTATATATATACATATACTGTATATATATACATATACTGTATATATATACATATACTGTATATATATACATATACTGTATATATATACATATACTGTATATATATACATATACTGTATATATATACATATACTGTATATATATACATATATATATGTATGTATGTATGTATATGCGTGTGTGTTTTGGTGTAAATAAAAAAAAGATAAATATATGTGTCTGTGTGCCTGTATACAAATATATATACATATACTGTATATATATACATATATACTGCATGTATATATACACAACACACGTGTGTGTGTGTACGTGTGGACATGGAAATACTAATTCAGGAAAGAATAGATCCACTTCATCAAATGTTTAATCTTAACTCTTGTTAACTGACATAGCATACGACAGTTATTTCCAAAGTAAAAGGTATTTGGGGATCACTGGGTCTTACTTCTCCCCTCCTCTCCCTCTTTTCCTTTCTCCTTCCTACAACTTTCCCTTCCCACTTCTTTCCTTCTCCCTCCCTCTTTCACCCACCTTCTACCTCTCTTCTCCTCTCTTCCATTCCCTTTCTCGTTCTGCCTCCTCCTCTTACTCCCAAATCTTCCTTATATTTACTTCTTATATCCCAATTTGAGTCTTACATCACCCCCCCCCCCTCCCACCTCCCTTCTATTCCTCTTTAACTCCCCCCCCCTCCTTTGCTTCGATAATGCCCTTCTCTCCCTTTTCCTGTTCCCCTTTTCTCTCTGGGCCCTTTTCCATTCCCTCTTCCTTTCCCCTTACTTATTTCTCTCTCCTCTCTAAGTCCCCGACACTTCCCCTTTTCCAAGTGCCCTTTGCCCCTTTCCTAGTCCCTTTCTTCTCTCCCTTCCTTTCCCTTTACTGTCCGACCTTCCATCTTAATCTCATATAATTAAGATGGCGAAAAAAAAAACAGAATTATAATATAAGTAGTAATAATAATAACAGTAATTATAATAATGATTATTGATAATATAAATAATGACAATGACAATGACTCAACTACAATGGCAATGTCAGTGATGATGAAAATAATAATAACAATAATGATATTGAATGATAACAATACTGATTGAGAGTAATTTGTAATATAATGCCTTTATGTACAGTGTGCGTGTGTGTGTGATTCTCTAATATTTATGCTGTCAATTATCACCTCATTTACATGAAAATAAAGCGAACGGAACTTTACAGTCATATGAAATATAGCTTTGTAATGCGATTCCAACCCAAGCCCACAGATACAGTGTAATATGATATTTGAATTATGATGTGAAGCGTAACATGGCGTAACGGACAGACGAAACTCAATTGTAACATATTTTTTTTCAGTAATCCGGATTGAGCAAGAAAGTCTGGTATTATCTTCAATTTCGTTCACTTACGACTGCCCATTTGCCTGCTACCCATTTTCTATGATTAATGTTTGGCATTACTCCATTCTAAGAGCTACCTATGAGGTTATGAGGCTTGGCGATGATAGCGATGTGGCTGTAAATCGTCTGTGCGCACACATACACTTATCTACATATAAATATGTGCTTTATTTAATTCGTTCAGCATGTATTATATATATACGTATAAAATATTCATACATATATATACGTATGTGTATTATTGATGGATAGAACACATTTGTATACATATGTATAAATAAATATGAATATGTATATGTATGTATGCATATACACATACATATATATACGTATGTGTATTATTGATGGATAGAACACATTTGTATACATATGTATAAATAAATATGAATATGTATATGTATGTATGCATATACACATACATATATATACGTATGTGTATTATTGATGGATAGAACACATTTGTATACATATGTATAAATAAATATGAATATGTATATGTATGTATGCATATACACATACATATATATATATATATGCATGTGTGTGTGTGCGTCTGTGCGCACACATACACTTATCTACATATAAATATGTGCTTTATTTGATTCGTTCAGCATGTATTATATATATACGTATAAAATATTCATACATATATATACGTATGTGTATTATTGATGGATAGAACACATTTGTATACATATGTATAAATAAATATGAATATGTATATGTATGTATGCATATACACATACATATATATATATATATATATATATATATATATATATATATATATATATATATATATGCATGTGTGTGTGTGCGTCTGTGCGCACACATACACTTATCTACATATAAATATGTGCTTTATTTGATTCGTTCAGCATGTATTATATATATACGTATAAAATATTCATACATATATATACGTATGTGTATTATTGATGGATAGAACACATTTGTATACATATGTATAAATAAATATGAATATGTATATGTATGTATGCATATACACATACATATATATACGTATGTGTATTATTGATGGATAGAACACATTTGTATACATATGTATAAATAAATATGAATATGTATATGTATGTATGCATATACACATACATATATATACGTATGTGATGGATAGAACACATTTGTATACATATGTATAAATAAATATGAATATGTATATGTATGTATGCATATACACATACATATATATAATCACACACGCACACACAAACATGTATGTGTGTCTATTCTTACATATGCATGTGTTTATATACATTGCACATACACACATTCACACATGTACCTAAACAGTCACGATATATATCTTAATGTAAACATGTACATTCCTATGCATAGATCAATAAAAAAACAATGACTACGACATCAAAAACTTCCTGGAAGCCGGTCCTTCATATCATGTGGGCGTATCCTACTGAAAGCGTTTCTATTTTCGTAATGTACTTTCTTGTCGGAGTTCTTTCAAGGTCTTGCGTGTGAATAAGTATATAAGAAGCCGGGCGCATTACTGGAGTCACATCGCCCTGTTCCGTCTCACCGATCTTGCAGAGATGAAGTACTTGGTGGGTGAAATTTCGGCGTGTTCACACTTCTATGAACGGGATTATTGGTTCTTATTTTGTACTGCTTCAAAAATCCAAAAATAATTCATTCAACTTTTTGTGTTCTGTCAGGTGTTTGTGCTCCTGGTGGCTGCCGCTTGCGCTTCTGAGATCGAGAAGCGAGAGGCGGAGCCAAGTCGTGCCTACAGCTATGGCCACGGTGTCCAGCAGCACGCCTACTACCCACGCACCTACTACCACACCTACCACAAGAGGTCCGCCGTGCCAGAAGCCGAAGCCGAGCCTTCGTACAGTTCCTACCACTACCCAGGTTACTACCGCCCCTATTCCTACGGCTACCACAACACTCCCTACGTCCACCACCACCACAAGAGGTCCGCCGAGCCCGAGGCTGAAGCAGAGCCCTCTTATGTACTCGTCCACTACTACCGCCCCTATTCCGACGGCTACCAACCACATCATTACACTCCCTCCGTCCACCACCACCACAAGAGGTCTGCTGACCCCGTTGCTGATGCTGAAGCTAGTTATGGCTACAGGTCATACCAGCCCGTGTATTACCACTCCTACCAATACACACCATACACTCACAGCCACTACAAGAGATCTGCCGAGCCAGAAGCTGATCCTAGTTTCAGCTATGGTCACCACCACCAGACCGTGTACCGTCCCTACCATAGCGGAGCTCACTATGGCTACGGCTACCACACTCACCACTACTAAGTCATTGGGTGTTTATATGCCCTAAAAGCATTTGAAAGAGTTTTATATTGAAAATTAATTGGAAAAAATAGATTGAACATAGAAGAATTGTATATAAGATTTTTGAATCCTAATTAGAACTTACAAAAATAGAAAAAAAACCCACTGATATGTGAATGAACTATACTAGGAACCAAATCACACGAATAGGTAACTAAGTTAGAAAATCTAGTTACTAGAGCTGTGGATAACTGGAATTTGATTTGAGTTGTAATGAGTTGTAAAGCAATTAATTCAATGTACTTGTAACTATGACTGACACCCACAAGAAGATAGGTGAATATATAGCTAGAGTAAACGTGCCATATGAGATGTGAGACGATCTATATTTGTGCAACTGATATAGCTCGTACAGTTCGTAATATGCATATACCTCGGGAAGGGACAGTCTGTTGGGCAAGGGTCATCCACGGGGATGCGAGCTAGGGTTCCCCTGAAGTTCAAATTAGCGGCATCGAATCGTGCAAGAAGCAGGTACTATGCCGGTCCAATACATGTAACTGTTCCCCATGGTTCGGAACAAAGACCTGTTGCAAAGGGCATCAAGACTTATATACACATGTATATGATGTTATATATAATTTGTGTATATATGTATATATACAGAAATATATGTATATATACATATATATAAATACAGTACACGTATATATATACACAAATGCAGTATCCATATATACATATATGTATGCGTATATACATATAAATGTATACATATATGTATACATATATACATATATATGTATATATATATACATATATATTTATATATATATATGTATATATAGACACATGTATATGTATATATAGACACATGTATATATATATTTACATATATATTACATACATACATATATACATATATATGTATATATAGACACATATACATACATACTGTAGATCTATATACTGTATATATATATAAAGTATATATCCATATATGTATTTATGCACATACTGTACATACTGTTTTTATATAAAAATCATGTATACATATATACTGCATATATACACACACATTCTAAGGACCATGAGAAGTAACGTCGTTATAGTGTTGAATAATATAACCCTAACACAAGCACCATTTTTTAAAAATTTGGTCAGTTCTATCTGGCATGCCCTGTGATACTAGCACTCTTACTGCAACTGAGAAAGAAAACAAGTTATAATTGTAAATGTAATCAAGACAATCCCATGGAATTTACTGGAGCTTAGCTTGTCGGTACCTGCAAATTTGTCCCAGTTAAATCTTTATCTCCACACATGCAGATCTTAGTATTAAAAGCTGTCTGACTCATTGCAACCGCCAGGAAGAACTGAAGAAATGCAGATACATAGTTTGCTTGTACGTGTTATTTTACTACACTTGCACTTCGTTCCTGTGATCAGTATTTCTGAACAAAACTAAGAGATAAAGAAGCAAGAAAAATATAGTTATGGTAAAATAACAACTAAAAAGAATGATCGAAACAATGATAATGAAACACACACGAAAGGATATGTATATGCACACAATATGGACTGTCCCATGCATAAGATTATTTAGATCAATGAATAAGAGACCAGAAATTTCCAATAGCCAGAAACATTGTCGCCCTGTTCCATCTCATCGAGTACTTGGTGGTAAAGAGTTGTGAGCAGGATTAATGTTTTTTTTAATTTGTATTGTGACCGATTTTTAAAATGTGTGTTTAATTTAACATTGTATCTCCATTTATTTGTACTCCTGGTGGCTGCCGCTTGTGTTTCTGTGGTGGAGAAACAAAGGCGGAGGAAAGTCATGTCTTAAGCTATGGTCACGGTGTCCACCACCACGCCTACGACTCACGCACCAATACCACCCCTACCACAAGAGGTCCTAAGGCCGAAGCCGAGGCTTCGTAGCACTACTCAGCTACTACCGTCCCAATTCCTACGTCTACCACAATATCCACTACTACTGCCCCTATTCGTACGGTTACCAACCACACTACTACATTCCCTCCATCCATCACTTCCACAAGAGGTCTGCTGACTCCATTGCTAAAGCTAAAGTCAGCTACGCCTATAGATCATACCACCCCGTGTATTACCACTCCTACCAGTACACCCCCTACACTCACAGCCACTGCAAGAAGCTGATCCTAGTTTCATCTATGGCCATCACCACCAGTCCGTGTACCGTCCCTACCTCAACGGAGCTCACTATGGTTATGGTGTAAGTGCCCTGAAGTTATCTGAAAAAGTTTTATATTGAAAATTAATTAGAAAACAATAATTATATACATGATTAAAAAATCCTGATTACAAACTACAGAGAAAATGGCCGTAGCCATAGCTTTATACTGTATCTACGTATATGGATATATACACAGATAAACATATCTCTCCATATATACATATGCACACACATATATATGTATACATGTATCTACATATATATGTATATATATCATATGTTTATATATAACATACACACATCTATATGTATATATAAACAAATACATATATATTACATACACATATAGATACATATGCACATACACATATCTGTGTGTGAGTATATGTGATATATCATGTGTATCTATATTTATATATACATATATAGATATAGATACAAGTACATCTCTGTATGTATGTGTATGTATGGATATATGCATACATACTCAGGCAAATAAATATACGGATAAATTGATAAACATATATATATACATATATACGTATATATACACAAATATGCATGCCTTTACACATACATGCACGCATAATGTATATACTTACATAACATATACATGCCTATTCAAGGACATGCATACATCCACAGAAATATACATACATGCATACATACACAGGCACATAAATAAAACAATAAATATATTCATTTATGCATACATATATAAACATGTATACATATATATAAAGCTGTTGTCCATCAGTCGATCTGTTTATTTAGGCGCATAAAAAGTTCGGAACTTTTTTTCATTCAGTCAGTCGCAGATGTGTTTGAAGATCAATGATTAAAACATGGAGGCGGATCCTTGATATGATGTAAGCGTGTCTTAGTCAGTGCCAGTTTCTATTTTTTTGTAATTTGGTAACTTGTCGGCGTTCTATCAAGGTCTTGTGTGGGAACATGTATATAAGGAGGCAGACGCATTGCCGGAGTCACATCGCCCTGTTCCGTCTCACCAATCCTGCAGAGATGAAGTACTTGGTGGGTAGACTTTCAGCACGTTCTGTGAGCAGGATTAATGTTTATTTTGTATAGTGACTGATGAAGTACTTGGTAGATAGACTTTCGGCGTGTTCACTCTTCTATGAACAGGATTATTGGTTCTTATTTTGCGCTGCTTCAAAAATCCAAAAATAATTTATTCAACTTTTTGTGTTCCATCAGGTGTTTGTGCTCCTGGTGGCTGCCGCTTGCGCTTCTGAGGTGGAGAAGCGAGAGGCGGAGCCAAGTCGTGCTTTAAACTATAACTACGCTTACCCCCGCACCTACTACCACCCCTACCACCATTTCCACAAGAGGTCCGCTGAGGCCGAAGCCGAACCTTCTTACCGAGGTTACTACCATCCCTATTCCTATAGCTACCACAACACTCCCTATGTCCACCACCACTACAAGAGATCCGCTGAGCCCGAAGCCGAAGCTGAGCCCTCTTACCGAGGTTACTACCATCCCCATACCTACAGCTACCACAACACTCCCTATGTCCACCACCACTACAAGAGGTCCGCCGAACCTGAGGCCGAAGCCGAGCCCTCTTACGGTTCCTCCAACTACTACCGCCCCTATTCCTACGGCTACCAACCACACCACTACATTCCCTCCGTCCACCACCACCACAAGAGGTCTGCTGACCCCGTTGCTGAGGCTGAAGCCAGCTACGGTTACAGGTCATACCAGCCCGTGTATTACCACTCCTACCAACACACCCCTTACACTCATAGCCACTACAAGAGATCTGCCGAGCCAGAAGCTGATCCTAGTGTCAGCTATGGTCACCACCACCAGACCGTGTACCGTCCCTACCATAGCGGAGCTCACTATGGTTACGGTTACCGCGCTCACCACCACTAAAACACTGGGAATTTACATGTCCTGATGTTTTTTTTTATTATTATTATTTGTTTAAAATGAAAACTTGAAATAATAAAGTAAATCTAAATGAATAACATTTATGATTAAAGAATCTTGATTAGAAATATATTAATATGTATGTAAGTGAACTATACAAGCAACAAAACACACAAATAGGTAACTGAGTCAGAAAATTTAAAAGTTACTAGATCTGTAATTTTGATTGAGGTGTAAAACAATGAAGTTACTTGTACCTATGACTGACTTTTTATAAGCATAATAATAACCTCCTTGTCCTACATACCTGTGGGACAAGGATCATCCACAAGGAGGCGAGCCAGGTGCTACTGAAGCTCATATTGGCGGCATCGGATTGTGCAAGTAGCAGGTCGTATGCCGGTTTCATGGCTGATTGATCACATGTTCCTGCTAACTGTGCTATGGTCCGGTGTAAGGACCTGTTGCAAAGGATATCAGAACCTATATAAACACACGTGTGTATATAGTACTTACATAGTTTATATATGTATAGATATGTATATATATATATATATATAGAAACATACATGTGAACACAAAAACAGTAATGGGTACACAGAGTTGAAAATAAAAACAGCCACAATAAGAAATTAAACATTTTTTTCATTTCTTACCATGGCTGATTTTCTTTTCAAACACACACACACACATATACAGTATACATGCATATATATGTATATATAAAAATAGTAAACACGAGGTTTTATTTTGGAGACGAGCGAGTGAAGAAACATCATGAAACACCGACTGCTGTCCCTGTAATTGTAACCAGCATTATCTGTAATTGAAGTTGAGAACTATATATATTCCTTATTGTCAATGTAATCGACTCAAAGCAGTGGAATTTCTCGAGCTTAATTTGTCGGTACCTGTAAATTTATCCCAGAGAAAGCTTCAAGTAGTTTTACAGATTGATATGTGGAAGGCCGTTTCCTACCCACTAAACACGTTTTGTTAGGGATGGTATCAGAAAGAACTAACAGATACAAAAACATACGGTGCTTGTATTAAGATATGTAGTTTCCTAAATTTGTATTCCTTTCCTGTCGTAAGTATTGCTAAAGAATACTGGATGGCAAAGAACCGAGAAAAAATATAATGGCCAATCTACAATTAGATAGAATGAATTTAATAACGATTATATATACAATATACAGTATATATACACATATATATTGTATGTATATATATATATACACTCTATATTGTATATGTATTTGTTCTTAACTTCGTTCTTGATTCAACCATTTTTCTTTGGCAATAATGATGACAATACAAATTTGTGTATATATAAACACACATGTATATATGTCTGTGTTTATATGTTTATATGTTTGTGTGTTTATATGATTATACACACTTATGCATATATGTATTACACACATAGATATGTATATATATACAAAGAGAGAGAGATTAACATACACATACATACATACATTTATAAATATATACATATATCCATACATGATATATACATTCACATTCAAGAAACATACAGATATTCATACATTCACATTCAAGAACATACAGATATCCATACATTCACATTCAAGAACATACAGATATTCATATGTACACAAAACACACATATATGTATGCATACTCAGGCAAATAATTAAACCAACATATAAAGGAATACATATATATGAATATATATATATAAATCTTTTGTGCATCAGTCAATCTGTGTATTTAGGTGCGTAGAAAGTTAGACATAGGAACTTTATGTTTTTTTTCATATTTATTTTCCATTATGTCAGTCGCAGATATGTAAGGAAAGTTCCATACTTACATGCATGGGATTAATGATGGTCAATAATTCAGACAGTAGGCAGTTTTCTGGAGGCGGGTCCTTCATATTATGTGGGCGTGTTATACACAAAGCCAGTTTCTATTTTTGCAATGGACTGACGTGGTGTTCTGTCAAGGTCCTGCTGGGAACAGGTATATAAGGAGGCAGACTCATTGCTGGAGTCACATCGCCCTGTTCCGTCTCACCAATCCTGCAGAGATGAAGTACTTGGTGGGTAGACTTTCAGCATGTTCTGTGAGCAAAATTAATGTTTATTTTGCATAGTGACTGAATTCTAAAATGCGTGTTTGATTTGACATTTTTCAGGTGTTTGTGCTCTTGGTGGCTGCCGCTTGCGCTTCTGAGGTAGAGAAGCGAGATGCGGAGCCAAGTCGTGCCTTAAGCTATGGCCACGGTGTCCACCACCACGCCTACTACCCCCGCACCTACTACCACCCCTACCACCATTTCCACAAGAGGTCCGCTGAGGCCGAAGCCGAACCTTCTTACCGAGGTTACTACCATCCCTATTCCTATAGCTACCACAACACTCCCTATGTCCACCACCACTACAAGAGATCCGCTGAGCCCGAAGCCGAAGCTGAGCCCTCTTACCGAGGTTACTACCATCCCCATACCTACAGCTACCACAACACTCCCTATGTCCACCACCACTACAAGAGGTCCGCCGAACCTGAGGCCGAAGCAGAGCCCTCTTACGGTTCCTCCAACTACTACCGCCCCTATTCCTACGGCTACCAACCACACCACTACATTCCTTCCGTCCACCACCACCACAAGAGGTCTGCTGACCCCGTTGCTGAGGCTGAAGCTAGCTATGGTTACAGGTCATATCAACCCTTGTATTACCACTCCTATCAATACACCCCCTACACTCACAGCCACTACAAGAGATCTGCCGAGCCAGAAGCTGATCCTAGTTCCAGCTATGGCCACCACCGCCAGACCGTGTACCGTCCCTACCATACCGGAGCTCACTATGGTTACGGTTACCCCACTCACCACTACTAAAACACTGGGAATTTACATGTCCTGATGTTTTTTTTTATTATTATTATTTGTTTAAAATGAAAACTTGAAATAATAAAGTAAATCTAAATGAATAACATTTATGATTAAAGAATCTTGATTAGAAATATATTAATATGTATGTAAGTGAACTATACAAGCAACAAAACACACAAATAGGTAACTGAGTCAGAAAATTTAAAAGTTACTAGATCTGTAATTTTGATTGAGGTGTAAAACAATGAAGTTACTTGTACCTATGACTGACTTTTTATAAGCATAATAATAACCTCCTTGTCCTACATACCTGTGGGACAAGGATCATCCACAAGGAGGCGAGCCAGGTGCTACTGAAGCTCATATTGGCGGCATCGGATTGTGCAAGTAGCAGGTCGTATGCCGGTTTCATGGCTGATTGATCACATGTTCCTGCTAACTGTGCTATGGTCCGGTGTAAGGACCTGTTGCAAAGGATATCAGAACCTATATAAACACACGTGTGTATATAGTACTTACATAGTTTATATATGTATAGATATGTATATATATATATATATATAGAAACATACATGTGAACACAAAAACAGTAATGGGTACACAGAGTTGAAAATAAAAACAGCCACAATAAGAAATTAAACATTTTTTTCATTTCTTACCATGGCTGATTTTCTTTTCAAACACACACACACACATATACAGTATACATGCATATATATGTATATATAAAAATAGTAAACACGAGGTTTTATTTTGGAGACGAGCGAGTGAAGAAACATCATGAAACACCGACTGCTGTCCCTGTAATTGTAACCAGCATTATCTGTAATTGAAGTTGAGAACTATATATATTCCTTATTGTCAATGTAATCGACTCAAAGCAGTGGAATTTCTCGAGCTTAATTTGTCGGTACCTGTAAATTTATCCCAGAGAAAGCTTCAAGTAGTTTTACAGATTGATATGTGGAAGGCCGTTTCCTACCCACTAAACACGTTTTGTTAGGGATGGTATCAGAAAGAACTAACAGATACAAAAACATACGGTGCTTGTATTAAGATATGTAGTTTCCTAAATTTGTATTCCTTTCCTGTCGTAAGTATTGCTAAAGAATACTGGATGGCAAAGAACCGAGAAAAAATATAATGGCCAATCTACAATTAGATAGAATGAATTTAATAACGATTATATATACAATATACAGTATATATACACATATATATTGTATGTATATATATATATACACTCTATATTGTATATGTATTTGTTCTTAACTTCGTTCTTGATTCAACCATTTTTCTTTGGCAATAATGATGACAATACAAATTTGTGTATATATAAACACACATGTATATATGTCTGTGTTTATATGTTTATATGTTTGTGTGTTTATATGATTATACACACTTATGCATATATGTATTACACACATAGATATGTATATATATACAAAGAGAGAGAGATTAACATACACATACATACATACATTTATAAATATATACATATATCCATACATGATATATACATTCACATTCAAGAACATACAGATATTCATACATTCACATTCAAGAACATACAGATATCCATACATTCACATTCAAGAACATACAGATATTCATATGTACACAAAACACACATATATGTATGCATACTCAGGCAAATAATTAAACCAACATATAAAGGAATACATATATATGAATATATATATATAAATCTTTTGTGCATCAGTCAATCTGTGTATTTAGGTGCGTAGAAAGTTAGACATAGGAACTTTATGTTTTTTTTCATATTTATTTTCCATTATGTCAGTCGCAGATATGTAAGGAAAGTTCCATACTTACATGCATGGGATTAATGATGGTCAATAATTCAGACAGTAGGCAGTTTTCTGGAGGCGGGTCCTTCATATTATGTGGGCGTGTTATACACAAAGCCAGTTTCTATTTTTGCAATGGACTGACGTGGTGTTCTGTCAAGGTCCTGCTGGGAACAGGTATATAAGGAGGCAGACTCATTGCTGGAGTCACATCGCCCTGTTCCGTCTCACCAATCCTGCAGAGATGAAGTACTTGGTGGGTAGACTTTCAGCATGTTCTGTGAGCAAAATTAATGTTTATTTTGCATAGTGACTGAATTCTAAAATGCGTGTTTGATTTGACATTTTTCAGGTGTTTGTGCTCTTGGTGGCTGCCGCTTGCGCTTCTGAGGTAGAGAAGCGAGATGCGGAGCCAAGTCGTGCCTTAAGCTATGGCCACGGTGTCCACCACCACGCCTACTACCCCCGCACCTACTACCACCCCTACCACACCTACAACAAGAGGTCCGCCGAGCCTGAGGCCGAAGCCGATCCTTCCTACGGTTCGTACCACTACCGTCCCTATGGTTACTACAACACTCCTCACGTCCACCACCACTACAAGAGGTCCGCCGATCCTGAGGCCGAAGCAGAGCCCTCTTACGGCTCCTCCAATTACTACCGCCCACACCACTACATTCCCTCCGTCCACCACCACCACAAGAGGTCCGCCGAGCCTGAGGCCGAAGCAGAGCCCTCTTACGGCTCCTCCAACTACTACCGCCCACACCACTACATTCCCTCCGTCCACCACCACCACAAGAGGTCCGCCGAGCCTGAGGCCGAAGCAGAGCCCTCTTACGGCTCCTCCAACTACTACCGCCCACACCACTACATTCCTTCCGTCCACCACCACCACAAGAGGTCCGCCGATCCTGAGGCCGAAGCAGAGCCCTCTTACGGCTCCTCCAACTACTACCGCCCACACCACTACATTCCCTCCGTCCACCACCACCACAAGAGGTCCGCTGAGCCTGAGGCCGAAGCAGAGCCCTCTTACGGCTCCTCCAATTACTACCGCCCACACCACTACATTCCCTCCGTCCACCACCACCACAAGAGGTCCGCTGAGCCTGAGGCCGAAGCAGAGCCCTCTTACGGCTCCTCCAACTACTACCGCCCACACCACTACATTCCCTCCGTCCACCACCACCACAAGAGGTCCGCTGACCCCGTTGCTGAGGCTGAAGCCAGTTACGGCTATAGGTCGTACCATCCCGTGTACTACCCCTCCTACCAATACACCCCCTACACTCACAGCCACTACAAGAGATCTGCCGAGCCAGAAGCTGATCCTGATTTCATCTATGGCCACCATCACCAGACGGTGTACCGTCCCTACCATAGCGGAGCTCACAATGGTTACGGTTACCGCGGTCACCACCACTAAGGCATTGGAGTTAATGTCCTGAATATCTCTAAAAATGTTTATTTTGAAAGTTGATATTTGAATAAATAAGTTTAAATATATTTTGTTTATGATTTAAAAATCCTAATAGAAACGAAAGTCAGTTATATAAACAACCAAATAACACATAGGGATCTATGACAGTCACAAATTTAATCACAACTGAATAATTGTATTTAAGTAATTGTACTTGATATTGTCTGACTTTTTTAGAATCATATTGATTATAAATTACATCATGCGAGTAACATACTGACATACTGAATATCTACAGATAGACATACAGACATAGGGTCTTGTGGATCTGATATTTTTACAATATATAATTTGTCGTTTTGATATATGGATAAGTATCATTCTCGACAGAAATTATATTTTCCTCGGACGTTTTAAGGTACTGCTAAATCTTGATACATCTCAAGAATTCCTGAGTTCATATAATGAGTCAAATAATCGGTGGGACTGACGGCGACAGGGACGCATAGCCGTATCCACCTCCAGCCACGAGGGTTCCTCATAGCAAGCCACCAGGCACGTGTTCGGCTCATATCTAGATCCTCATAACAGATTGGATCGATCTGGCCAAGTCACGTCTTCCTAGCTCGTCTAGCAGCTTCCTCTATCTGAGGTTTACGAGAGAGAGAAAAAAAAAACCAGTCCGTTGGGCAAGACCGTCCGCGGGGGCGAACATTGGATTGTACAAGTAGGTCTTATGCCGGTCTCACGGTATGCCTGCTGCTTAAGCACATGTTCTTGCTAACTGTGCCCCATGGTTCGACGCAAGGACCTGTTGGAAAATGCATTAAGACCTATATAGACACGCAAGTAGATATACATATGTGTGGTGTGTGTGTGTGTAGGTGTGTTCACATACACACATACACATATGCACACGCCTATATATATATATATATATATATATATATATATATATATATATATATATATATATATCGTGTATAATTACTTACGTATAAACATATATATGCTTATATATGTATATACATACATATATGTACAATATAAATGAATGAATAAACAAATATATACATATAAAGGCATATATATATATGTGTGTGTGTGTTTGTGTGTTCGTGTGTGTATATATATAATAATTAATTAATTAACATATATACATATATAAATATATATATGCTTGTGTGTGTATATTTACATGTATGTGTGTGTATATTTATATGTATGTGTGTGTACCTGCATATGTATATATACTGTATATATACATATACATATATATACATGTTGCGTTTATGCATCATTATATATACTTATTTTATATACATGTTGTATTTATGCATCGTTATATATACTTCTTATATACACATATATACATATATGTATGTGTGTCCGCTATACATCTAATTAATCATCTAGGTTATTCTATAGATTACCATAAGAAATGTCATAAATGCTGTAATCGTAACTAGCATTATTTGTAGTTGAGAAAAACAACAAGTAACCATAATTGTAAATAGAATCGACCCACTCCCATGGAATTTAGCTTGTCATATGCATACATAATATATACATATATACATACTGAATACATTCATATGTGCATACATAGTATATACATGCATATTCAAGTACATGCACACATACACAGAAAATCATATGTGCATAAATAGACCAATATATAAATATATATATACATACATACATGTGTATGTATGTATATAAAATCTGTTGTACAGTAGTCGATCTGTTTATATAGGCACGTAAAACGTCACACACAGGAACTTTTGTTTTTTATTGTCAGTCGCAGATGTGCAAGGAAAATTCCTTACTTCAAGGAAATGTTAGTCGCATGAGATTAATAATGATTAATTAAAACACCAGGTAATTCATGAAGGTGGGTCCTTCATATCACGTAGGCGTGTCTTATTCAAAGCCAGTTTCTATTTCCGTAATGTACTGACTTGTCGGCGTTCTGTCAAGGTCCTGTGTGGGAACAGATATATAAGGAGGAAGACGCATAGCCGGAGTCACATCGCCCTGTTCCGTCTCACCAATCCTGCAGAGATGAAGTACTTGGTGGGTAGCCTTTCGGCATGATCGCTCTTTTGTGAGCAGGATTAATGTTGTTTATTTTGCATAGTAATTGATTTCTAACATACGTGTTTGATTTAACATTATGTACCCTCAGGTGTTTGTGCTCCTGGTGGCTGTCGCTTGCGCTTCTGAGGTGGAGAAGCGAGAGGCGGAGCCAAGCTATAGCCACGGTGTCCACCACCACGCCTACTACCACCCCTACCACCGGTTCCACAAGAGGTCCGCTGAGCCTGAGGCCGCAGCCGAGCCTTCTTACTTAGGATACTATCGTCCCCATTCTTACGGATACCACAGATCTCCTTACGTCCACCACCACCATAAGAGGTCTGCTGACCCCGTTGCTGAGGCTGAAGCCAGCTACGGCTACAGGTCATACCACCCCGTGCACTACCACTCCTACCAATACACTCCCTATACTCACAGCCACTACAAGAGATCTGCCGAGCCAGAAGCTGATCCTAGTTTCCGCTATGGCCACCACCAGTCCGTCTACCGTCCCTCCCATACCGGAGTTCACTATGGTTACGGTTACCACCACTAAGGCACTGAGAGTTAATATGCCTTGAATATATCTAAAAGAGGCTTATTTTGAAAATTAATATAGAATAAAGTCAGTTTAAATATAATTTTGTTTATTATTTAACACTTCTGATAAGAAACTTCACAGATATTGATACTGATATGTTTATTTAGTTCAAGTAAAAAGCTGAACCTATTTGAGAGAAAAACATAAAAAAGCTCAACCTATTTGATGGAAAAACTCTCGGCCAGGAACCTTACAGCATACAATATAAATATCACAATATTAATAAGAATTCATGAATAAAGTCAATGGAATTTAGTATTTAGTCGATAAATATATACATATATATTTTAAACAGGATTTAACGCAGTTTAAACTTTCACTCTCCTTGACTGAAGGTGGCAGGCTATTCCAGACCTTAACAATATGATGAGCAATTGAAGTTTGTGCCTGGTGACTTCTAACTAATGGTATTTCCAAAGAGTTTTGTCTTGAAGGGTATTTATCAGTTATTCTTATTTGGAATAAAGCACAATGTATGGAACCTGACGGGGCTTTGTAGACAGATTGAGCACTAGAGTATGTATTTAATTTATCTTTAATTTTCATTATTTGAAAGACTTTTTGGTGTGTTCATTTGCTTTCATTGAAATAATTGTCCTTATAATACACTTTTGTACAACACATAACAGTTTGCATATTGAAATACCTTCATTACCTCATACTGTTATACAGTATGAGGTAATATATGAGTAACAGAGGCACAACACTGCTTGAACATCTAGTTTAGATCTTGTGTGATATAATATGATAGACTATTTATATAGGTCTTTATGTATGTACTCTAATTTTTTCGCAGTAATTACTCCTAGAAATTTCGTATGTCTGTCAAGAATTGTGTTTTCTATTCTTATAAGATCTATTTGCGTTGGGACAACCTTATGTCTATCAAAAAATAGGTAGTGATTATTTTTCTTATTTATTGTGAGTTTGCTATTTCATAGTTTATAGTTTAAGGTTTATTGTACTAATTAGTGTTGGGAGATTAGAATCACTTAAAAAGTAGCACTGAAACATCTGCACATAATGCAAAATTTAATAGTTTACTTGCTTTCACTGTCATTCAATATTCCTTTATAAAAAATCAGATATTTCACTGCGGAATTGAACACACTAAGATTTTCTAGGTATAAGTAGATCCATTTATTTGAAACACCTCTGATACCATAATAGTTCAGTTTGGAAAGTAATGTCATGAGACACCGTATCAAATGCTTCGCTCAGATCAATAAAAGCGCCAGCAGTAAATCCATTTCTATAAAATTCTTTCATGTATATGATCAATAAGATAAATGAATGTAAGTTCAGCTGACCTTCCTTTTCTAAAACCATAATGACAGTCAGTTCAGATGTTTTGTTCCATACAGACAACATTAAGTCTGGCACAAATGAGCTTTTCAAGTATTATAGTAAAAGCTCCTAAGATTGTAATTGGACGGTAGGTTTGGATAATTATTATCTCCACTGTTGTATATTAGGGTGATCTTATCTATCTTTAGGAGATAAGGAAATACACTTTAGAGACAAATTAAAAGTGTGAACTTAGGGCTTAGCAATGGAATTAGTGTCAGATTTAATTACGTTAACTGAGTAATGGTCATAGCCATGAGAACTGATTTTCATTTGATTGATTTTTTGTTGTTGTGATTCCATGTTCTGTAATAGGAGTTATAGAGAAAATGTTATCATTGGGTTGGTCAAGATATTCTCAGAAATTAGAGGTGGAATTATCATTTAGTTTTATTGCAAGATCATTTCCTACATTCACAAAGTAGTGATTGAATATTAAAGAAACATTGCCATTTTTTATTCCATCAATTGTGTACCTGTCACTGGTGGTCTTACTAGCTCTATATAGCATGTTAATAATTTGATTAGCTCTTTGATGTCTGATGTTATATAGGGTTTGTGCCCATTCTGCTTTCTGCTTTCAACTAAAGAAAATGTTCTATTGAAACATGTATTAAATATAGTATTAAAGTTATTTTAAGCAATATTTGGGATCTCTTGCAGAATATACCAGATGCCAGTCAACGTCATACAGATACTTTAAATTCTGCGAGATTATTATCATTGCTTTAGAAAAAATTGTTGTGTTGTTTGTATATCTGATGCATGACTATAAGCTGTAAATATCAGAAAATGATCAGAGATGATACTGTAAATAATTCCATTTTTATACATCTAAAGATATTAATAGTTCATACATATTGCCATTCTCTTTGTGACTCTTCAATTCCATATGGTTTGTCAGTGGAATTGAAGAATTGAGTGAGAATGTAATGAAATAATGTAGATATCAACATTAGGGTTAGTTTCGTGTGATAAAATGTCTATATTAATATCTCCACTCAAGTAACATTGCTTATTTCATCCCTTAGTATGTTTAAAATACTGCTTATTTTTTCCATAAAAAATTGAATGTTATCTTTTGGTCTTCGGTAAATATTTCCTACTATAATATTTTTTGAAGAAGAGAACTGGTCGAACGAAGACAGTCATCACATGTTATAGTTACATAAATTCTTTTTATAAATGAAAAAAAAAAAATAGTTTTAAACATCGCGATAACATCAAATTCATAGTCAAGACGTTCAATACACTGTTGAATAAATGTGTCAAAATTACCAGGCAAACTTTGAATGTTGTCATAAAGGAGAGAGAAAATGTTTTCACTCTGAACATCAAGTTTCAAATGTTGGTCTGGAAAGTAATATTTAGGACTTAATTGTTATCAGTCTATCATTATCTAAAATATATCTGGATCAGATTCACATACTATAACGCCACCAGTGTTGTTGCAAAAAGGAGTAAGTTGCATATTATTAAGACCGTCAACGCATGGTACTTCATCAGCTACTAGACTGTTTAAATATGATATGAAATTTCTATCACATATTTGGAAATTAGAAAGAAAATAAATCAATATCGACACGGATATAAACTGGTTGCTCTTCTTTTGCGTGTCGTAGTAAATTACAGTATTACCTGTTTTGCTGAAGAAGGTAATTGACAAATCTTCGTGGGTTGCGGGTTACCCAACTACAGCAGTATTCCCTACATCTGTTGCAGTTTTTTCGTGTCTGTGTGGTGAATCTTCCATCTCCATTGAAGGAAGACAGTTTTCCACAGTCGTGTTGAGGGCGCGGAATCAGGCGCAGAGTGCACTCCTCTCAGCGGCTGCTGCCAGGTTTGTTGACGAGGTGGTCCTAGGGGTGTATTGAGTGCTTGCAGATTGCCTAGTCGTCTGGTTTCACTGTGTCTAATCAGTTGGTTTCTGTTGTTGAAGAAGACATGCTTAGCCTGTCTTCGCGCAGCATGAGAATCGTCCATTTGCTTCCTGCGTGCCTCAGCACAATCTTGGAAGAGATCCTCATTCATGAATACTTTCGTTTCCCTTAACTTCCTCCTGTTTTGAAAAAAGGCGTCCCGGCCCGAAGAGTTTATGGACTTAGCCAGAACATCCCTATACTCCTTCTCGCCCGGGCTGACGATACAGTGAACAGCGTCCAAATTTGGTTCAATCTCAAGGTTGTTACATAGGAAGGCTGTTAAAGCTATTTGACACATTTCGGATGTTTCACTTAATTTTTCAGGCAGGCTCACGAAGCGCAGATTTCCTTTCCGAGTGATGGTAGGGGGTGTGGTGGAGGAACGGAGCTTTGCTGGTCTAGGAGGCGGTGCCATAGTTAGTGGCCGTTTGCTACGTAGAGGAAAGTCAATAGAAGTGAAATTCTGAGACTAAAAAAGTTACATGAGACATGAGATGTTCAATACTTGTGCATTTATACGACATGTAATATGACGATTTCATATGCGGATAAGTACTATTCTCTAAAGAAATGTTTTTCCACAAATATATGAATGTACTTTTAATTCAAACATCCGTTACACATGCCTCATGTAACTTTTTTTGAGTTATAAGTGTTATTTGGTTGCCTATATAGCTGATTTTCATATCTATAAATGTTTCTCTGTTCTTTTTTCTGTTTCTCATCAGAATTCTTGAATTATAAACAAAATATATTTAGATTGACTTTATTCTTATATCAATTTTCAAAATAAACTTCTTAGATATAGGATTGAGGGCAAATTAACTCTCAGTGCCCTAGTGGTGGTAGCCGTAACCATGGTGAGCTCCGGTATGGGAGGGACGGTACACGGACTGGTGGTGACCATGGATAAAACTAGGATCAGCTTCTGGCTCGGGATCAGCGGACCTCTTGTGGTGGTGGTGGACGGAGGGAATGTAGTGGTGTGGGCGGTAGTAGTTGGAGGAGCCGTAAGAGGGCTCTGCTTCGGCCTCAGGCTCAGCAGACCTCTTGTAGTGGTGGTGGACGGAGGGAATGTAGTGGTGTGGGCGGTAGTAGTTGGAGGAGCCGTAAGAGGGCTCTGCTTCGGCCTCAGGCTCAGCAGACCTCTTGTAGTGGTGGTGGACGGAGGGAATGTAGTGGTGTGGGCGGTAGTAGTTGGAGGAGCCGTAAGAGGGCTCTGCTTCGGCCTCAGGCTCAGCAGACCTCTTGTGGTGGTGGTGGACGGAGGGAATGTAGTGGTGTGGGCGGTAGTAGTTGGAGGAGCCGTAAGAGGGCTCTGCTTCGGCCTCAGGCTCAGCAGACCTCTTGTGGTGGTGGTGGACGGAGGGAATGTAGTGGTGTGGGCGGTAGTAGTTGGAGGAGCCGTAAGAGGGCTCTGCTTCGGCCTCAGGCTCAGCAGACCTCTTGTAGTGGTGGTGGACGGAGGGAATGTAGTGGTGTGGGCGGTAGTAGTTGGAGGAGCCGTAAGAGGGCTCTGCTTCGGCCTCAGGCTCAGCAGACCTCTTGTGGTGGTGGTGGACGGAGGGAATGTAGTGGTGTGGGCGGTAGTAGTTGGAGGAGCCGTAAGAGGGCTCTGCTTCGGCCTCAGGCTCAGCAGACCTCTTGTGGTGGTGGTGGACGGAAGGAATGTAGTGGTGCGGGCGGTAGTAGTTGGAGGAGCCGTAAGAGGGCTCTGCTTCGGCCTCAGGCTCAGCAGACCTCTTGTAGTGGTGGTGGACGGAGGGAATGTAGTGGTGTGGGCGGTAGTAGTTGGAGGAGCCGTAAGAGGGCTCTGCTTCGGCCTCAGGCTCAGCAGACCTCTTGTGGTGGTGGTGGACGGAGGGAATGTAGTGGTGTGGGCGGTAGTAGTTGGAGGAGCCGTAGGAGGGCTCGGCTTCGGCCTCAGGATCGGCGGACCTCTTGTGGAAACGGTGGTAGTAGGCGTGGTGGTGAACACCGTGGCCATAGCTCAAGGCACGACTTGGCTCCGCCTCTCGCTTCTCCACCTCAGAAGCGCAAGCGGCAGCCACCAGGAGCACAAACACCTGAAAGAATGTCAAATCAAACACAGCCACTATACAAAATAAACATTAATCCTGCTCACATAACATGCTGAAAGTCTACCCACCAAGTACTTCATCTCTGCAGGATTGGTGAGACGGAACAGGGCGATGTGACTCCGGCAATGCGTCCGGTTCCTTATATACCTGTTCCCAGCAAGACCTTGGCAGAACATCGACAAGTCAGTCCATTACAAATATAGAAACTGGCTTTGAGTAAGACACGCCCACATCTGGGACTGGCAATGGAAAACACCAACAAAAAAGTTTCTGTGTGTAACTTTTTACTTGCCTACATAAACAGATGTGCAGCAGATTTCTATATATATACACACATATATAATGTATTGCGAGCATGTGCATGTATGTATGTGTGCTTTTCTTTTTTTTATGCGTGTATGCATGTTCAAGAATATGCATGTATACATTATGCATATACATATGCATATATTATGCATGTATGTATATGTACACATGTATATATGTACAAATGTATATATTATGCATGTATGTAGAAATACACACACATATATATATAATATATGTACATACATATATGAATTCATATTTATATACAAATTTATTTATACACTTGCCATGTATATGGACGTATATACGCAGATAAATATGTATATATTTATATATGCATATGTACATTTGTATACATATATATACATTATATTATTCTTTACAAAAGAGGAAATTCCGCGCATATATATATATATATATATATATATATATATATATATATATATGTATATATATACATATACATGCATTCATACATACAGATACATATATATGTGCATATACGTTTATATGCGTATACACACACTTGTATGTATGTGTCAGTTTATGTGTATGGATGTAATATATTATATACATATGTATAAATGCATATATAGATACATATACATAAACATATAGATAGATAATGATTGTAGTTACAGATAAGTACAGAAAGATTAACAGGTTGTATGTTCTTACATTTATATATATATATATATATATATATATATAGATAGATAGATAGATAGATTGATAGATATGAGTATGTGTGTGTATGCATATGCTCATTCTGTCAGTTGTTAGTTTGCCATAACTATATTTTTCTTTACCACTCGGTTTTGTTCAGAAATTACTGATCAGAGGAAAGAAGTGCAAGTGTAGAAAAATAACACTAACGTAAGCAACCTATGTCTCGGCATTTTTTCAGTTCTTTCTGGCGATTGCAGTGGGTTAAGGACAGCTGTCAACGCTGAGATTTGCGTCTGTAGAACTACAGAAAGCTTTCTCTGGGACAAATTTACAGATACCGACAAGCTAGACGCGAGTAAATTCCATGGGACTGGCTCGATTACATTTACAATTATGATTATTCGATTTTTTTCTGAACTGCAGTAATCTCTGTGCTAGTATCACTGGACACGTCGGAAAGAATCGACCAAATGCAAAAACATTGGGTGCTTGTGTTAGGGTTATAGTATTCAATACTATAGCGACGTTATTTTTCATGGCAGTACACAGAATAAAGTAGTCGCAGATTGATGGAATATATAATCCACTCACACACACACACACACACACACACACACACATGTATGTGTGTGTATGCATATGCATATATATATATGTATATATATAAATCTATATATGCATACACAGTATGTATATATATATGTATACTGTATGTATATATACACACAGTATTTGCATAAATATATATATATATAAGTATATACACACAGCATATATATATGTATATATATCTACTGTATATGTACATGCAGTGTTTATGTATGATATTATACATATATACAATATATATGTATATATGTCTATACATACAAACATGTGTATATATAGTATGCACACACATACACAGACAGACACATACGCATACACAGACAGACACACATATATCATATATACATGTATATATATGTATGTATGCTCTACCTGTATATATATACACATACACGTGTATTTTATATGTATATAGGTCTTGATGCCCTTTGCAGCAGGTTCTTGTACCGAATGAAGGGGCACAGTTAGCAGGAAATGTGACCAATCAACGAGTACACAATGAGACCGACATACGACCTGCTACTAGCACAATTTGATGCCGCCAGTTTGAGTTTCAAAGGCACCTGGCTCGCCTCCCCGTGGGCGATCCTTGCCCAGCAAACTATCTCAGCGTTTCATGTTCTAATTCCAAACTCCTTTCTAAAGCCGTAAATTTCTTCTCATTTTCTTTTAATTGCTCAATAAACATTTTTTTTTTTTTTTCAAATCATAGTATAGAGTCATTGAAACAAAATCTTTGAGTATCGAATAGAGGATTGATTTCACCGAGTATGGGGGTGATGGAGGGGGTGTGGTGGATGAACGAGGCTGTGCTGGCCGAGGAGGCGGTGCCATAGTAAGTGGCCGTTTGCTACGTTGAGGAAAGTCAATAGAAGCGAAATTCTGAGACTCAAAAAAGTTACATGAGACATAAGATGTTCAATACTTGTGCATTTATACGACATAATATGACGATTCCATATACGGAAAAGTGCTATTCTCTAAAGAAATGTTTATTCCACAAATATATGGGGGTACCTTTAAATCAAACATCCGATGCACATGCCTCACGTAACTTTTTTGACTTTCACAGTTTCCTGTTTGTGTTATGTAGTTGGCAATATAGTTGATTTTCATATCTGTATAAATGTTTCTCTGTTCCCTTTTCTCTGTTTCTCATCAGAATTCTTAAATTATAAACAAAATATATTTAGATTGATTTTATTCTTATACCAATTTTCAAAATAAACTTCTTAGATATAGGATTGAGGGCAAATTAACACTCAGTGCCCTAGTGGTGGTAGCCGTAACCATGGTGAGCTCCGGTATGGGAGGGACGGTACACGGACTGGTGGTGACCATGGATAAAACTAGGATCAGCTTCTGGCTCGGCAGATCTCTTGTAGTGGGTGTGAGTATAGGGAGTGTATTGGTACGAGTGGTGGTAGACAGGTTGGTACGACCTGTAGCCGTAACTGGCTTCAGCCTCAGCAACGGGTTCAGCGGACCTCTTGTGGTGGTGGTGGACGGAGGGAATGTAGTGGTGTGGGCGGTAGTAGTTGGAGGAGCCGTAGGAGGGCTCGGCTTCGGCCTCAGGATCGGCGGACCTCTTGTGGTGGTGGTGGACGGAGGGAATGTAGTGGTGTGGGCGGTAGTAGTTGGAGGAGCCGTAAGAGGGCTCTGCTTCGGCCTCAGGCTCAGCAGACCTCTTGTAGTGGTGGTGGACGTGAGGAGTGTTGTGGTAGCCATAGGGACGGTAGTGGTACGAACCGTAAGAAGGATCGGCTTCGGCCTCAGGCTCAGCAGACCTCTTGTGGTAGGTGTGATAGGGGTGGTAGTAGGTGCGGGGGTAGTAGGCGTGGTGGTGGACACCGTGGCCATAGCTTAAGGCACGACTTGGCTCCGCCTCTCGCTTCTCCACCTCAGAAGCGCAAGCGGCAGCCACCAGGAGCACAAACACCTGAAAGAATGTCAAATCAAACACGCAGTTTAGAAATCAGTCACTATACAAAATAAACATTAATTCTACTCACAGAAGAACCTGTCGAGAGTCTACCCACCAAGTACTTCATCTCTGCAGGATTGGTGAGACGGAACAGGGCGATGTGACTCCGGCAATGCGTCCGGCTCCTTATATACCTGTTCCCTGCAAGACCTTGACAGAACGCCGACAAGTCAGTCCATTACAAATATAGAAACTGGCTTTGAATAAGACACGCCCACATAATATGAAGGACCCGCTTCCAGAACTGCCTGATATCTTAGACATTTATCATTAATCTCATGCATGTGACGAACAGTTCCTTGAAGTAAAGAATTTCCCTTGTACATCTGCAACTGACAATGGAAAACACCAACAAAAAGTTCTTTTGTGTAACTTTTTACGCACTTACATAAACAGATTTTTATATACCTACACACACACACAAATACACACACATATATATCTATATATATAGATATATGTAAATATTGTGCGCCTGTGCATGTGTACGTGCGTGTTTTTCTGTTTTTTATTATTATTATTATTCAACACTATAACGCCGTTATTTCCCATGGTAGTCCATAAAATAAAGTAGTCGCTGATTAATGGAATATATAATCCACACACACACACATATGAATGTGTGTATATATGTATATATATATGCATACAGATTATGTATATATATCTATATATGTATATGTACTGTTTATATATATATGCACACAGTATGTGCATAAATATATATAAGTATACATACACAGTATATATATATATTTATGTATATATTTATATCTACTGTATATGTATATGCAGTGTGTGTATACATACATACAATATGTATGTATACAAACAATATATGTGTGTACATACATACAAACACATATACATACACAGGCAGACACACACACACACATATATGTATATATATTATATATACATATATGTATATATGCATGTATGCTCTATCTGTATATGTCTATATATACATACACATACACAGGTATTTAGTATGTATATAGGGGCACAGTTAGCAGGAATATGTGTCCAATCAGCGGATACACAGTGAACCCAACAGGCTACCTCTTCCCGAGGTATATGCATATTACATTTTGTAGAATATGCACAAATCTCACGTCTCATGTAAGACGTTTACTCTCTCCATTCATCTATTTATGTTGGTGTTCGTCATCATATTACTGTAATATTTGCATGATGTAATTTACGATTATTATGCTTACAAAAAGTCAGACACAGTTACAAGTACGATAACTTAATTGCTTTACAACTCAATTAAAATTATAGTTACCCACAGTTCTAGTAACTTTCTGACTGTCACTGTTATTTATTTGTGTGATTTCGCTGCCTATATAGTTCACTTACACATCCATATATTTTCCTATTCCATTTTCTCCGTAGTTTGTAAATAGGATTCTCAAATCACAAATAAAATTTATTTAGATTGACTTTATACCTTGGTGTTGAGCGCGGTACCGTAACCCTGGTGAGCTGATGAAGGTGGCCAAAGATGAAAGCAGGATCAGTTTCTGGTTTGGCAGATTCTCTTGTACCTCATCACACTACCGCCCTTCACCCTTTTATCCTCATGCCCTTTCTTAACACCATCCTTCCATATTCCGTCTTTACATCCCCCTTCTTGTTTTTCTTCTTCCTAAACGTTCGAGTTGTAGCACTGCTCCAATTCTTATCGCGGTTCGCGGTTAGTTGATTTTTTTCTCATCTATTGACAAGGAAAGGAATATTCAAACTTTTCGTTGTAATTTAATAGGGATTTATGCTCTGTCAACACAAATAGATCCACGTTACTGGTACTGATTGATTATCATTTACTTAATTACTCATGCTGACTTTTCCTTCTGTACAAAAAATAACGATTACTTTTGTCTGCTATACACAAGGGAGCCAGACAGCGAAAGGGAAGGGCAAAGAATTCATACAGTATGAAAAACATGATTTTTCTCTTACAGTCTTTCTCCTTTCATTTCACCTTCAAACTCATCTTCATCATCCTAATTCTGAACACCTCAGCACAGCATTTACATGTGGAAACATCAGATTTGCATTAGGGAAATGAGAGCAGTGTCATCTTCGCACAGCTTTTACCAACAATGGTAATTATTTGTCACTTAGCCTTTACCACGAACTAACTCACTCGTCTACCATGAAACTTCCGTTACTCTAAGGCATAGAAGTAATTGCGGACGCAGATACTATCAGGAAAAAAAAATGTGTATTTCATTTGGTGACAGAGTTAAAATATGAATTAATTTCCCTGTACATATGCACATCCACCATCAAGAGCGGTGTCGCCTCGTCAGACCGGGATCAGAGAATTCTGTTCCTTCTTTCCTTGAGAAGTGGCTCAGTTAAATTAGTGGGGTCATTACAAGGAATAAACAGTGGTGAGGAGGACTAAGTAACTCTTGACTTGCTGGATCGATAGATTGCGATTTGCGAAGTCCCGGGCCTTGCTGGACCATATGTGTTGCACTGACGGAAGAGGCTTATCACCCCTCACACCTTTATTTTTTTAGCCAGTGATTCTTACTGTAAGAGGCTTTACGTCACCCTGATCATAAGATACCATGACTGTGTAGGGATACACATATATACGTATATATATATATATATATATATATATATATATATATATATATGTGTGTGTGTGTGTGTGTGTGTGTGTGTGTGTGTGTGTGTGTGTGTGAGTGTGTGTGTGTGTGTGTGTGTGTGTGTGTGTGTGTGTGTGTGTGTGATATGTAAACATGTATGGATATATAAAAATATACATATATATCCATGTGTTGATTTATATGTATAAATACATAGATATGTCCATGTACTGTATACATACATATGAACATGTGTACATATATATATATATATCTATATCTATATATATATCTATATCTATATAATATATATATATATATATATATATATATATATATATATATACATGTATATATATATATATATATATATATATATATATATATATATATATATATATATACATGTATATATAATATACTTATACATGTAATACCATTTATCTACATATATCTATATATCTACCGACCTATCTATATATTTGCATATATGCCTGTGTAGACTATATATCTATTTATATGTGTGTGTGTGCGCACTATGTACATAATACATATATGTTTTATGCATATATGTTATATATGTATATATATGTTATATGTGTATATATTCATATATGTGTGTGGATATATGTGAATATATGTAAGTATAATGTATACATATATACATATATCTATATTTATCTATATATTTGTATATATTTATATCTGTCTCTCTATATATACATATGTTTGTGTGTCGCACCTTAATCATCCATCGGTGGTACTTTATTGGTGCTACAAGATTGAAAAAGGTAGTTAAATTTACGAATTCAAAACTGCTTTCATTCATCCTGTGATTAATATGCATCGCTTAGTCATGTATCCCATATTCCTTTTCTTTCTTACGGCAGCAGTTCGTGGGACAGGTAAAGATGTGCTCTGCTCCAAAGGCAAATCCACGGCGTCAAAGAAAAGGTTGCCGCAGAAATGTTATATTATGGAGAATCTTTCCTCCCAAAGCAATCTAAAGAAACATGGTCACAAACAATTACAAAGAAATGAAATACTTATCTATTCATATAATTGTTGTATGAGGATATGCAAAAGAAATATCTTGTTAAAGACAACCCAAAGGTGATTCGCACTATATGGGCTAAAAAAGAAACTTAAAGTGAACGAAATCCAAAACTAATGTGAGCACATAAGTGCTTAAGCAAGCAAAACATTCCATCTCATTCATGATATTGACTAATAAAACGAAACCTTTTTTTCAGAAATATTTCATGTTAAAGCTCGAAAATAATCCAAAATGTGAACCTAAACACCGGTGCTCAGTAGCGGTGGTAGAGGCCGTAACCTGAGGCGATTCCGTGGTAATGGTAGGGGTTGTAGGCTTGAACGAAACTAGGATTGGCAGACCTCTTGTGTTGGTGGTGGATGTAGTGGCTGTAGGGTGTGTAGTGGCGGTTGTAGTGAGGGTAGATGGTAGATGGTTCGGCTGACCTCTTGTGAGGGTGGTTCACGTAGGGGTTGTAGGGGGTGTGGTGGTGGTAGATGGTAGAGGGCTCGGCTGACCTCTTGTGAGGGTGGTTCACGTAGGGGTTGTAGGGGGTGTGGTGGTGGTAGATGGTAGAGGGCTCGGCTGACCTCTTGTGAGGATGGTGCACGTGGCGGTTGTAGGGGGTGTGGTGGTGGTAGATGGTAGAGGGCTCGGCTGACCTCTTGTGAGGGTGGTTCACGTAGGGAGTATAGGAGTGGTGGTGGAAGTAAGCGGGCCTGTAACTGGGTTCAGCAGATCTCTTGTGGAGGTGGTATGATGAGTAGCCGTAATGGTAGTTGTGGGGATAACCAGGATAGTAAAGGTTAGAGGGGTCGGCCTCTGCCTCAGGCTCAGCGGACCTCTTGTGAAGTGGATGGTAGCGATGGGCATGGGAGTAGGTGTTGTGGTGGTTACCATAAGGTGGATATAGGTAGCCTGTGCTTGGCTCCGCCTCTCGCTTCTCCACCTCAGAAGCGCAAGCGGCAGCCACCAGGAGGACAAACACCTGAAAAAACGCAAAGCATCAGACAGACTCATATGGAAAAGAAAATAATCGTGTTAGTCGCGTAACAAACCAAGTACCATTATCTCTGGATGCTGTGGATATAAAACAGTAAAGTTGGAACTCACCAAGTACTTCATGTTTGCACGATTGGTGAGAAGGAACTGGGCGATGTGATCTTAGCAGAGGGTTTCTGATCCTTATATAGCACAGGGCTTAGAGTCCTTGAGATATCCGACCTCACGCCTAAGAAAGTAGGAAGCACTGACTGATACAGATATGCATTATTTGTTTTGCAAGATTTTTTTCCCGATCATCTGTTATAATCCAAATGA